CCACTATAGAATTATGTTTGCAACTCTACCCCTTACCATTCACGTGATTTTTGTACTTACCTAAGCTACATGATCATACATTTACATGTAACATTTTTTAAAAATTTTAAATGAGGATATCTCAACAACCACCTAATGAAATTCGATGAAATTTTTTTTATTATAATTCCTGATATTTGTGAATCCAAATAAAAAAAATTTCAGCAAATTTCATCAGATGGTTGTTGAGATATCTTCAATCGAAGTTGGGTAAATTTTCAAAATATTATCAAATTGTAAACTATTTCAAGTTTTTTTTGCAATTTCAAACGAAGATATCCTAACAACTACCCGATGAAATTCGATGAAAATTTTTTTATTTCAGTTTCACATTCGCATAATCCAAAAAAAAATTCAGTGACTTTCATCAGGTGGTTGTTGAGATATCTTCAATAAATTTGGATCAATATTCAAACGTCTACAAAATTATTAAATTGTTAAACAAAGGTATCTCGACAACCACCTGATGAAACTCGATAAAAATTTTTTATTTGGATTTTACGAATATGCATAATTAAAATGAAAAAATTTTCATCGAATTTCATCAGGTGATTGTCAAGATATCTTCGTTTAGGATTTCGTAAAAGTAGCTTACAACTTAAAGATATTTTGAATATTGAACCAACTTTGATTGAAGATATCTTAACAACCACCTAATGAAATTCGCTGAAAATTTTTTTATTTGGATTTTGCGAATATTCAGAATTAAAATAAAAAAAGCTTCATTGAATTTCATAAGGTAGTTGTCAAGATATCTTCATTTAAAATTCTAAATTTTGATGTACCAAATTCGTGTAAGTGTATAGTCACGTGATTTAGGTAAGTACAAAAATCATAAATTCACGCATGAACTTCCACGTTGGTTGCTTAGCGAACATCGAACAAAGCGAATATGCCAAAAGAGGTGGTTTGTCATAATGCACCTCGCTGTTATAATAATACATCACTTTTATCATTACAGCCTGTTCTTATAGATAAATTGCACTCTCGTGATATAGGCAGGCGAAAAAATAAATCACGGCCCAACTATAGTGATTCATGGTGGTGCAGGAGTAATAGACCGTAAAAGTTTCCCAGAAAATAAACAAAAAGAATATCTTGATGCCTTGAAAGAATCACTTTTAGCTGGGTATGAAATATTAAGGAAAGGAGGAAGTTCCATTGATGCCGTTGAAGCTTCCGTCAGGGTTATGGAGGGCGCGTATTATAGAACGAAGGCTTTTTAGTATGATATAATATATTAAAATTTATGCCATTAATAGATTGCCCATTTTTCAATGCTGGTAAAGGATCAGTATTTACTATAAGTGGTAAGGTAAATAAATCATTATTTGAATATCATAGTAAATGACATACACCACAGTGAAGTTTTCAAAATTTATTAACAGAATGAATTGGAGGCTTCGATTATGCTTGGAATCGATTCCCACACAGCCGGTGCATGTACATTGCTTAAAACAGTCAAAAATCCAATAATTCTGGCCAAAACCCTCCTTCAAGACCCTGAGAATCCACATGTATTCCTTGGCGGAATTGAGGCTGAAAAATATGCGAAATCAAAAGGATTAGAGATGGTTGATCCGGGTTATTTTTGGACACAACAGAGATGGAAACAGCATTTAGATGGATTAGAAAAGAAAACAGAAAACCCGAAGATGTTAAATGATCTTGACGGTGGTACAAATTATCCGAGTTCTATGGGGA